ACGCCGTTCAGTTCAATGAAATATACCCCTACCTATAGCGTCACCACCTACAGAGGCATTTCTATATATATATTTATATACAGGTTTGGTGTTCAGATTTGCGTATGTGATACTTAGTAAAATATATATGCCACTACAATTTCAATGCCAAAGCATGGAAAATTTTCTATTGAAAAGTGCTCTGCTCTGCCCAGCCTTTTCTCGCACCTCTCTCTTTGTTATTTTTTTCACTTTGTGTTTTTTAATTAAGCGATTTGAGCTGTGATAAGCGGCTGGCGAGTGAGTATAGGTGGGCGTGACTGCCGCCTAATCAAAATCAGCACAAAAATGTCGCATAAACAGCGAGCGGCGCAAAATGTGGAAACAAAAGACGAGAAAATGTATCTCAGGGTGAAAGAGATAAGATAGGAAAAAGCTTGCCACCTGCTGAGGAATTCCTTCAAATGCTCTATCTTTTATTGTTTGTGTGGTGACGGCAGCGCACCGCAAGTGTTAATTATTAATTGTGAAATGCGATTTTATTTAATTGATGCAGCTGACGCCCCGCTTTCAGAGTGCTGTTTATTGATTTTGTCCATGACGACACTTTGGTCATAACATTCAAATATTGGATTAATAATAGAGCCCATTTGGTTTGAAATAGGGAACTTTACTGAAATTCAAGGTCAAATGATTTCATGCTAAAGAATTTTCCCAATTTTACTTTTCTATAAATACACACAAATTAAATGAAGAATATTATTGAAAATAAATTGTCTACGCTCCAAACTGCACTGAAAATGGAAAATGGCTAAAACGGAAATTTATTTAAGGCCCCCTGCCACTCTGCTGGCTGTAAAAATATCAGCAAAAAGATTTTTCACTCGCACCGAATTTCCCGCATCTAAAATTATATTCAGTACGATGAAAAACGTCATTAATAGCCGCAAACGCAAAGGAAAGGCACAGCGAGCAGAAAAGAAACAAAAACTTTTGACATAAAATGTGAAAATATTTGTAAAGACTGCTAGACTGCCAAATAAATATAGATGTTTCTTAATGGACTACTCTGGCTGACCACATACACTTTCGCAGCAAGGTTTGCAATGAATAACAATATCGATTAAATCGTAAGCTGATTAAAATTGTCAAATTATTATGTGTTTGTTCAACGGCATGAGGTCATAAAACAATGCCAAAAATTGGCAAATCGACCATTACAAAATCTACTTATTAAAGCAGAACTAAAAAATATAGTTCTCTAAATAATATGTTTGAATGCCATATATTTTCGTGTAAGTAAATGTGGTTTAAAATATTTTATTTGTTGCTTGCATTTATCTTTAAAAGTTTGGCTATTTGACGGGAACCTGTCAGCCTGCTGATAGTAATAAAACGGGTTGTTCTTATCATCAATTAAAGCAGATAGAAACACCGGCACATCCGCAATCAAAAAATCAATATTTGGCCAGTGTTTTTCTCCAAGAAAAATAAATACACTGGTAAAATTGTGACGTAAATGCAACATTGTTCTTTGGTTCACAGTTGTATAGAAAAATGTGTTGTTGAATATAATAAACCATCCTATGACTTAATAGCTGAGCTCACATTCACAAATACAAAACGTAAAATTCTTAATGAAATGTACAACCTAATAACTAACATATTTTAGTAAAATTCTACTGATCAAATGCAGCGTATTCCAGCTTTAGTTTGTCTAATCGACTTTTTATAGTTTCATTTCGCGTCTTTTTTTTTTGTGCATTTCTGGCAGCTACAGCTGATTGCTCCTCTCGTTAGCGATGCGTGCGAAGTAAAAAATATGCAAACATTTTGCAAAACAAAGGCGTAAACTGGGGCTCAGCCCAGTAAACGTTTCTGCAGAGTGCAGAAGTCAGCTAGTCAGACAGAGGGGCACAATCGTCTAATTATAATGAGAAAAACATTTGCCCTCCACTCAGACGGTCGTTAATTTGCGGTGTGCGAAAGATGTTTACATTGGAGTACAGCAGGTTATACCCCCACAAATACACATATTCTATCCACCATTGGCTTCGAAAATTGTACAAATACTCGTATACATTCGCCTAACAAACTAGCAAATAAAATTGATTTTTTTCCATTGCAGCCGATTCTCAATTGCCAATAGAACAAACAAACAAATAATCAAACAAAAAGCTTTGGCCAGTCTGTAGTTTCGCTTCGGGCGGGCTTGCCATTGCAAATAACGAAAATATTTTCAAGTCAAACAAAAAAACTTGAGGACGACGGTGGGGCAAAAAAAAAAAAATTGTCGAAAATTTTGTCGAGAGTTTTACGTTTTACAGATATTTTCACCGGATATGCATGGGAAGGGATTCGACACAATGAGAATCATCGGAGTTGGCTGCAATTTTATACCTTTGTTTACGACGAGATAGAGTAAATCAATTCAATGAGAACTGAGTTGAAAGAAATATGGGTCTGTGCTTTATTTTTAGAGCAGCCAGGAAAGTGTGTGAGCTTCAAGCAAGAGGGAATTTCTTTAGAGAATGAAAGTTTTACGGGTCTCATCTCGTGAAAAAGAATAACATCAGTTTTATTTAAAACTTTATTATTATACAGAAATTTTTTAAAAACTTGTCAAGAATTTTGCTTATAGAAATGCCAATCTAAAGGGCCATCATCTATAATTTTTTTCCGTGTGAAATTAGGGAAACTGTTTCAAAAGAGACAGGCATAGGCAATAACAATCCGTACATAACGAGGTGGAGAAAATGTGAGGGAAAACAGCCCACCACATCGTACACATAAGACTGCTAAAAGTGAGGTCAGTTATGTCAAGACAGACAGCCAGAAATGTGCAGAAGCGAGTGTGTTTGTGGTCATTAAGAGGTTACCAAGCCTCAGCTGGCAGAGGAAAATCGGCGGAGAAAGAGTCAACTTACACAGAAAAGGCAAAGGCAAATTGACTCTGAGCACGCTCTTTAACTTCTGCGGCTAAGCAGAAAAGTTAAAGCTGCATCAAAATTAACATCGGCTGCCGGGAGAATGTGCGTTTATCGCCAGCAAAAAGGTGAACAGTCGCAAAGCAGGTCGTCCGGGGAGGGTGAAGTATACCCCAGAGGCTTGGTAATTTTATAATAGTGCTCGTCTTTCAGCCGACACTGGGATATATACGGAGGAGCGCTTCATACGCGCACATTTGTATGCGGAGGCATTTTATGGTAGCATTACATTCTCCTCTTCATTGTGAAAACTCCAGTGGCCAGACAATAAGTGAGCATACAAATTGTTGCACACGCGCTGGCATGGCACTTATTTGGGTTGACTGCCTTGGTTAACTCGTTAAAATATTTCAGAAAAAATCCTCCAAGGAAATAGACTGAAAACGAGAGAAATCGGTCATTAAAAAATAGAGCTAAATATCTACATGTATAAGCTAGTATTACCAATCTGAGTGCCATTGTTATTAGTATGATGAAGCTAAGTTTTAAAATAAACAATGCGAGAGGTTAAAAAGGTTAATAGCTCTCAAATAAACCTGTTAATGTTATTAGGAAAACAGAATGGGAACAATTGTTTATCTTGTCAGTTGTTGTGGATTCAAATCCAAACAACAAAAACGAGAGCGAAACGCCTATACCGCACAAAATAGATATATCAACAAAAATCTTCTAGCTTATACAACAACTTTTTTAAGTGGTTCCATCTAAAGCAAGTACAAAAATTTATCATTTCGCAACCTGCTAATGATAATGATATGTTTACATAACACTTGCGAAATTTTACTTGAAGTATGAATTCTACGCTGCATCTTTCTTTCAAGTGCAAGCCTTTTTTGGCAAACCTGTGACGTCAAAGTCAAGTTAACTGCCGAATCGCAGTGGGCCAGCAGTGCTTTACCAACACAAACACGCGAAAAGCAGTTAATGGCGGTTGGTGACAAAACCGCTTGGACAAACAACAAAACGATCGCCTGCTAGAAACTGGAAATATCGCTGAAAAGTGAAGTGCTCTACGAGCTGTGATTTTGTTTTCTTCACCATTTAAATGCACACAAGTCACGTTTGATTTGGGAACTCTCCGCTGGGCGTGATTGGCTACCTTATAGATTATTGAAATTAAACTGATTTGTGCACCGATTTATTATGGCTTGATTCCAGGGCACCTGGCTGTCAAAAAAGTAAGTGCGAGAGCCCGAACCCGAAATGATTTACCATTTTGACACATTTATGCTAATTTCGAGCAGGCTCGACGAATTTCGTGTGTCCCCACACGTATGTAATGTATCAATTGGAACTTGTTAATTTGCCGAGCAGGTTTGGCCCCTGCCTCCTCTCACCACTTAACCCCTTCATCCCCGCCGCCCAGCAATCACTCAATAAATTAGAACCAGTTCTTTGTTTGAGCTTCGGTTGTCTTAACCCTTTACGAAATCGTTTATTTAGAAATTTCATTGACGTTTAGTGTCAAAGAATTGTAAAGGTTGTATGGGTTTTTTAAAATAAAATCATAGATAATAATGAACGGTAATATAATTTGGTGACAAAATGCAAGGTTTTTTTAATATTTGGTTAAACTGAAAATTGGTTAAGAATGAAACGTAATAAAGCCACTATTAAAAACTCACAATATAATTGAATATGTAATTTTTCTTTCAATACTTAAAAACAAAATTGAAAGTACTATGTTTTGATATAATAGATTCAGAATAACACACATTCCTTTAACTCATGTTCAAGTCTCAAAGATTATGTTCATAACATGTTGGGGCGCATAGGTACACAACTAAACTATTCTATTGCTCAAACAATTCGGAAAATATTGTTTTGGGTAATGGAATTTTGAGTGCACGTTTATGATTCTGTAGTTCATCTTAGCAAATTTTAAGACTTGACCCTATTTGTTTGGTTACGAATTTGTCACGTGAGCAATAGAAGGGTTAAACATTGAACGGAAATGGAGCGAGCTTTTGGCCTAAAATGGTTTCGATTTGAATCGAATTTGTTGTGGGCCAACTTCCGTTGGTTTTGGCATACCTTTTTCGGTTTCTCAGTTTTTGATTCTCGGTTTCTCAGATTTTGTTTATCGGTTTCTCAGTTTCTCAGCGATATCTCTCCCATTTGTCTACGTCACGGAAATCCAGAGATACTTATTGCGTTGCTTACTGGGTTTTCACTGTGGTTGTGTGTATATAGCAGTTGACATAATTGAATTAAAACTGTAGTTCACGAGAGAATTTTGCACAATGCATCGCGAGGGGGCGGGAGGTTGGAGACGAGGCGGGGTCCAAGTGGGGTCAACACATGTAAATGCGGTAAAAAACACAAAGATCTTTTACAATTGCATGTGTGAGAGTAGGGAATGGGGAAAATGGGAGAATGTATATTTGAATGGGAAGAGAGAGACGAAGAAGATGAGTTAAAGGTGAGAGAGCGCAGCTGTTTTGATGGTTTTTGCTCTTTTTTTCGCTTCACTTCGGTTTGTTGATTCCTTTCTTCTATTATTCTCTTTTTTCCTTTATTTTTTTGCAGTAAGATTAGGTAACTTGTGTCTATATGAACATAATTCTTAACACATTTTACTGCTTGACACACACACTTATCATAAATATGTATGTTTCACACACACACACTCGGTGCGAGAGAGACACAACCACTTACACACACACGCACGCGGCAACAAAATCGATATTCTAAAAATAATATAAGTAAAAAATATATATGCATACGAAATCCAAACGAATGAGTGTGTATGTGGTTGTCCGCTGGCGAGGGTAATTACATATTTATTTATTTATTAAAACTTTTGGGGAACTCCGAATTGCGTCTGGGGATTTAGCCGCTTACTGCGCACTTGAAAAATTTGCATTCGCCTTGGAAATTGGCTTGAATTTTTTACACTCGACGAGGGCTTTGTTTAGTTGCAATTTTTTCGGGTCTGCAGAATAATTTAAAAACCGACAGCGTTCTATATCAAGCGCGTATATAAATTTCTTTATCTTTTGCACCCAACCGACGAGCAAGGCGGCATACGGCAATTGTGACGATATTTTTTTTCCTTCGCCCGACTCTTGCTCTCTTTTCGGCTTGCTCTCTCTTTTCCACATGTGTATATACTATACGTGAGAAACGGCACACACACAAATGAGCCAGAGAAATGAGTAGAGCTTCAAGGTGTATGTGTTGTCTATTGTTATTGTTGCTTATCTGACTGACTTTTTTTTCCCTAAACTCAAGTTTGATTTCGCACTCGAAATCACCTATTTCGATTACTCATTTCGCTTAAATTTTGATACCACTGTGCCAGATTTCTGGGTGAGAGCGTGGTGAGTTTCGTTTTCAGTTGCGCCGCCTACACTCACCACAAAAACTGTTGTTGCGCTCTCTCCAGGCCCTCTCTCACACGGTCACACTGCAGGTGAGAAATCCGTTGGTCCGCAGCAGGGTCATACTGAAAGGACGCCGCTTTTTTTTGTTGCTATCGAGGCGATAACAAACAAGGCAATCGTTATCGACCTCTCGCTCGCTCTGAATGATGCTCTCTCTGTCGCTCTCTCCCTGAGTGGTAGAATTTTCCTTTTCTCGCTTTTCGCCTGTTTATTCAGAGTGTCTGAAATTTATGTAATTTAGCACAATGTCTGCTTTACACTGAGTTGGCGAATGCAGCGAAAACGGCGAAGGGCACACAAAAAAAGCGACGCAGCGCACACACACACACCTCAAATCCGGATTCCCGATTCGCAATTTTTGCGCTGCGCTTTTCGGCGATTTACCGTGCACACACTGCCACAATTTCACTCGCAGATCGCGCCGCAGTGGGGGACGTGGGCTTTTCGATCGATTTGGGCGGCCGGCAGGTGCGTTTTATGCGATAATTATGAATTTTTTCCAGCGGCAACTAGAATCGTTCACACAGACACCGTAGAAAGTGACGCCATCTTTGAATGTAGAGGTGGGAAAACATCGATACCAACATCGGTGTCATAAATTGTCCAGTCGATTTTTAAAAATCGGTGTTCTTCCATATCCAACGATATTTATCGCACCATTTTTCACGATTTCGCACAATGTTAACTTCCCACTCCAGTTCTTGCGCACTTCACTCAAAATGATAAAAAATATTTTTTTAGCATTTACGGCAAAGAACTGCAAGCCTTTAAACGTTAAAAATGGCGGGATTAACACATTAACAATTAAATTTTAATTTAACGTTTAAAAGCCTGTGTAACCGCTAACCTTTTTGTACCGTCAAATTCAGATGAAAGTTGGGAAGAGTCGGGATTGCTTGGAACCACTTAAAAAAAAGTAAAAGTAAGTAAGAACAAAATTTTATTTCAAACTTCGATGTTTCCCACCAAAAACATTGAAAACATCGATACAGCGGCCTATGCACGTTCAGTCGGTGGGTCTAGTGTTGGTAAGCGTATCGCTGGGCGTTAACAGCACGGGGGACCATGTTAACTTTCGACGGCTTATTGAAATGTTTTTCACAAATCCTTTTAAACAATTAGATTTTAAAACTACAAAATTTGTCAGAATTTTAAATTGTCTCCAAACTTTAATAAGATAATTTTATAATTTATTTTAAATTCTTGCCAACGGCAAATTGACACAAAATTAAATTTTAACTGTACAGTGGTGTCTGCCCTTACTAACATTACTAACATACTATTTTCCGCCTGCTCGCTCTGGTCACACTGGCCGTGAATCAGAAACGCAGACTAATTAGTAAGAAAAACGGTACAAAAGAACACCTAATTGTTGAAATTTCACCTGCCGCAACCCATAAAAAGCCAGCAGCCAAGTGTCGAAAGATAGGCCGAAGGCAAAAAGACCCCTTGCAGTCGCCCCCAAGCCACATCGACGCAAAGTGGACAACTCCCAGTTTTTCGAGCATCCCCAAAAGGAGCATCGCGACAAAAAGGCGAGACTTCGTCGCAGCAGAATGTCCTCGCTGTCCGCATCGGCGGAGAATGTGTCCAGCCTGGGCTTGGGCACGGGTGGGGCCAACTCCCACGACGGCAACTCGCAGCAGGGCTCCGGATCCGACGGCGGATCCAGCATGTGCCTGGAGCTGGCGCTCGAGGGCGAACGGCTGTGCAAGGCGGGCGACTGCCGGGCGGGCGTGGCCTTCTTCCAGGCGGCCATTCAGGCCGGAACCGAGGACCTCCGCACTCTGTCCGCCATTTACTCGCAGCTGGGCAACGCCTACTTCTACCTGGGCGACTACAACAAGGCGATGCAGTACCACAAGCACGATCTCACGCTGGCCAAGAGCATGAACGACCGCCTGGGCGAGGCCAAGTCATCGGGGAACCTGGGCAACACCCTGAAGGTCATGGGACGCTTCGACGAGGCGGCCATCTGTTGCGAACGCCATCTGACCCTGGCCCGTCAGCTGGGCGATCGCCTATCCGAGGGTCGGGCCCTCTACAACCTGGGCAATGTGTACCACGCCAAGGGCAAGCATTTGGGTCAGCGAAACCCCGGGAAATTCGGTGACGACGTCAAGGAGGCCCTCACCCGGGCCGTGGAATTCTACCAGGAGAACCTGAAGCTCATGCGGGATCTGGGCGATCGCGGTGCCCAGGGACGGGCGTGCGGCAATCTGGGCAACACCTACTACCTGCTGGGAGACTTCCAGGCGGCCATCGAGCACCACCAGGAGCGACTGCGCATTGCCAGGGAGTTCGGCGACCGGGCTGCCGAGCGCAGGGCCAACAGCAATCTGGGCAACTCGCACATCTTCCTGGGCCAATTCGAGGATGCCGCCGAGCACTACAAGCGCACCCTGACCCTGGCCGTGGAGCTTGGCGAGCGGGAGGTCGAGGCCCAGAGCTGCTACAGCCTGGGCAACACGTACACGCTGCTGCACGAGTTCAACACTGCCATCGAGTACCACAATCGGCACCTGGCCATTGCCCAGGAGCTGGGCGACCGGATTGGCGAGGCCAGGGCCTGCTGGTCGCTGGGCAACGCCCACTCTGCCATCGGCGGACACGAGCGAGCGCTGCGCTATGCGGAGCAGCACCTGCAGCTGGCCAAGGAGCTGCACGATCCCGTGGGCGAGAGCACGGCCAGGGTGAACATCTCGGATCTGCGGAAGCTGCTGGGATTGCCCGAGTCGGAGCCATCGCCCACCGAGGAGGAGGCACGATCCTCCGCATCGGATCACTCGGCCAGTGGACACCAGTCGGACGAATCAGAGAACTCGCAGGGAAGAATGGTGAGTAAAATTTACTTGGATACATTGGATTTCAAATCTCTGTATTTGATGGTTGATCTATCTATTAAAAAGGTTAATTTGAATAGTCCAGTTGATTACATTTGTCTGTATTAATTGGTCAGTTAACGGAAATCTGGAAATATTGAAAGCTCAATCAAATAAATTATAACTTTAATCAAAATACATAGTTTTCAAAGAATTGCAGAGGTAAACCATTTTGTTTGCCCTGGTAACCTAATCTATATACAACAGCTACTTTGTTTCTTTTCAATTAACAATAATTGAGTTCTTTTGTAACATAATAGGTTTAAAAAACAAAAACTATAATTTATGCTTGCCCTAATTTACTTATTTAATATTCCAAAAGACCCTAACTTTTCAGTCATAGCATAAATCTTTCAATTTTTCCATTTTTAAAAGAGAATCTTGTACGTTTTGTTTATGGACACCTGCTGTTAGCAGTGTTTGAAAACTAATGGTTGGGTAAATATTTAGATGAAGGGAAAACCAACACAAAAATCACATGCTGTGAGAGTGAAACCCAGAGTCATAACCACATTAATTGCTGTTTATTGTTTACCCTCAGGTGCGCGTTCGTCGCCAGAGCATGGAGCAGCTGGACCTGATCAAGATCACGCCGGACGGCAAGCGCATGCAGGAGGAGAAACGTCGCGCGTTGGCCACCGGAAAAGCCAAAGATGACGACTTCTTCGAGATGCTGTCGCGGTCGCAGTCGAAGCGCATGGACGACCAGCGCTGTTCGATCAAGGTGATGCCAGCCGGCGCTCCGGCGGTGGCCACTGGTGCCACCCGCAAGCCGCTGGTGCAGCAGAACTCACTGTTCGTGGATCCCACCAATCTGCCTGGCCTGAAGTCGCCCTCGTCGGCCAATGCGGCGCCCATCGGTCATGGGCCGCTGGCCAGGAGTGCCACCACCACGCAGCAGCCGGACGACGACTTCCTCGACATGCTGATGCGCTGCCAAGGCTCGCGGCTGGAGGAGCAGCGATCCGAGTTGCCACGCCCCAATGTCACCATGGATGCGGAGGCGGAGCCACCACCGCGATCAGTGCCAGAGGCAGCTGTGGCTGGGGCGGCACGCGGACAGACGGGACGCGGTGCCACCGTGCCCGACGAAGACTTTTTCTCGCTGATCATGAAGGTGCAGAGCGGTCGCATGGAGGATCAGCGCGCATCGATTCCGTTCCGCAATGCCAACAACAACAACAACAGCCGGAGCAACAACAATGGCTCGGCTGGCGGAGCTGGAAAGTAGAAAGTAGCTAGAGTCCAGAACAGAAGGAGTCCAACCAAAACAATCCTAACAATCCATCCCTGGCCGCAGCTCTCCTCGTTCATTTTGTTAT